ATTGAAACGAAAAAAAGGGTGAATCAAAAGCAAACCCTCCTGGATGTATTTATGTTTTTTTTTGTAATTTTAGGTAGTTTGCTATTTTTTTATTTTTTTATTTTTATTTATTTGCTCTTTTTGTTGTTATGTTTAACTTTTTTTTTTAGTTACAGTATCAGCTGAAGATCAAGATAAATGTACTTTAACAGGAAGAGAATTATACCACACTAAATTTCCGCCTCCATCTACAGTGGCTCAACCAAAAAATTGGAAGAACTATCAGGAAGCATATGACCCATTCATCTTGAATTATCACTCACACACAGCCTTTAGATTGCTTGTTACTCTCTGTGAACCTGTCTTTGCTGAATTTGAAAGAAGTTTCAGGGATTGTCAAATGGATAAGTTTGACACAGACTTTGTTATCGAACTTTCATGTGAGATGTCTTATACATTCGTAGATGAGGATGTAAGGAAAGAAGCCTTTTGCTCACTTTTAAGTAAATACCTTGGAGATATTCATATCTAATATCTTTGGAAAAGTTAGTAGAGTTGGGAAAGGTAGAACTACAGATGACAGTATCATGTATATTAGGAGAAATTTTGAAATGCCTTTATTAAACTTAGTAGTAAAACCAAACTTGGAATGTGCTTATTTTCAGTCATCAGCATACTATATTGAATTTATCAGAAAGTTCAAACAAGAAGCATCTCTGTTCTCCAATCTCATCCACCAGTATTTCTTCTGTACCTAACAGGTATGTCTTTGTACATACATGATATAAATGTTGCTCTTTAATCTTTTACTAACTTATGATTATAAATAATAGGTGCTTAGTTGGGGATAGCTGGTGCTGCCTTTTTTAGAGAAAGCAATATGTGAACCTTTAAACCCCAATAGTGCCTTTATTCTATATAAATCATAATGAAAGTATACTATACCAAACAGCACATATGCTGAAACCTCTAAAAGTTGCCTTAGGGAAGCTTCGAAATATTTATGATAATCAACCTTTTGAATATGGTGAGAATGTCAATTACTATCACAGCTGAGTTTTCCTTACATCAATTCAGTAACAATAGCTGGAAAAACAATACAACTAACATATATTGATCAGATAAGAAAACATCTTATCTTTGAGGCATATGTAAATGTTGAGTCTGGGAGACCTTATAGGGTTGCTATAAAATTTACAAAGAGTAATTCTGACATATGCCATTCTTCTTGCTACCAAATGGGGATAGACCAAAATTGTTGGCATTTGAAAAAATTCCTGGAGAATGGTACACTCTGATCTTGCACAGAATGGTGGAATTGATCATGATGTTAGTAATGCAGTCATAGAATCTGTAAAGTTGTTACATAGTAATGGTTTTGTACATGGAGACCTAAGAGGTCCTAATATTATAATAGGAAACAATAACCAGGTGAAATATATAGACTTTGAATGGGCAGGTAAAAGGGGAGAGGCAACTTACCCGATGCTTTTAAATACGGAAATTAGATGGCACAATGATGTTATTCCGGGAGGAAAAATCGAAATTATACATGATGAGTGCATGGTAAAAAATGAACTTTCAGGACTAATGAAGAATAAACTATATGAAGAACATAAGATTTCTTATCACCAATTAAAGGATATTTTTCTATGTCCGTTCCAAGTCTCCTTCTAGGTCGTATTCTAAATCTCAAATATAAAACAAATAATAGTAATAGTTTGTTCGTTCTCATTATCATGTGACTAGCACCAGGGAAAATCCCGTGTTTTGTCGATACTGTTTCTCAAATGCTAATGGTTTATTATTTCACAATATCTAATCTTAATGAACCAATTATTGTATTCTCTTCACAATAGAATCTAATAGATTAATATAGTTCCTATTTCAACTGCTAATGTTATTCGAATGTCAAAAAAATTAAATTGATTTTCTTACAAATGTAATTAATTATTAAGACTATTTATTAATTTAAAATAATAATAAAGATCTCTCTATATTGATTGCTTAATTATATTAAAATCGATACAATTTCTAAATTTAACATTACTTGGAATATCATTTGTT